TTGAATAGCAACGGGATAAACCGACCAAAACAACGCTTTCTAACCACAAATGCGGCGATGGCTGTGCTTGATAAGGGTTGTGCTGCGGCTTGAACACTGGCATGAGCAGTAGAACCGTCCAGATTTCCCTACAACAGGCCGACGACATACCCGGCCGCCGAGCGGCCCGGCCGCCTCCAGCGATCTCTTCTCGAACAGGCCGTCCGCCTGCGCCGTCGGCTCGTGAAAGGGATCCGGCGCCGGCTCGCTGACGACCAACTGGCCCAGTAACCTTCGCCGCGGAGAAAAACATTCACACGCGCCTGCTGAGCGCCGGCGGGCAAGAAAGGCTGTCGGCCGCGCCGTCGCGTCCCGTGAGTCAGCTGACCGGCGCCGCGCGCGCGCGCGCCAGCGCCAGCTCAGTTACGTCACAGCTGAATGGGGGCGGGCCGGGCCGAGCCGGCGCCGCGCCCGCCTTTCCAAAGGCAGTGACGCCACACATTCGCCCAGTCCTGGAGCTGTTGCATGGGCGTACTTTCGCTACGCTCGGCGTGGCCCGGCTCGTCGGCGTAGTGAAAGCGGCAGCGACGCAGATGAGCCGGCGTCGGCGCGGCCCGCCGACGGGGCGCGGGCGCGACGCGCCGCCGGCTCCGGCTGGGTCGGCACGCGCCGGCGCCGCCTCATCAGACGACGCCACCGTCTGTGACAGTGGCGGCGATCGGATCGCCGGCTTGCGTCGCGTTGTTTTCGAAACGGGCACCCTGGAAGATAGAGTTGGTTTGGTTAGCTGGTTAAGTGACCACGGCGATGACGGTCTTGGTTGAGCAATGGGCATTTGCATTTCACCTGAGCGGGCGTCCCGGTTAGAGGCGCTGTTCCCTCGATGTGTCAAAAGGAATGACTCGCCGGCAAGAGACATTACAGGCGCGCTGTGTTTCGGCACCTGGCTGAACCGCGGCGTGACGCTAGGTCGGGAGGTAGCGCGGGTTTGCTATTACTCGATGAGCGGTACAAAGTGCAACGATGTACGATGATGCTCAAAGTACAAAGAAACACCAAAGAAAATGGTGTTGGTCTCAAAGTTGGCCACCAAAAACAGAAAAATCAAGCTTGACGGACAACTTATGGGAAAATTTTGCATGAAGCTGCATTGACCGCCACGAACACAGGTGGCGGCGGTGAACACGGCTGAGTCCCGTGTAACTAGTCATCACATTTGCTGATATGGCAAAGCCGCTCACCACTGACCGCACGGAATCCAGTTCGCTGATTGCGTAACTGACGCAGTACAGCTGCTCAGCTGGGAGAATCACTTCAGGAGCTCCGCGAGTAGTAAGGTGTAAGCACCTCTGCAAACGCTGCACGCCATACGGATGCTATTCCAACACCTTTGCAGACGCGGTGAACCCGTTTGAAAAGTAACCGTAACGTAAAAATTATATTGGCTGTATGAGATAAAACAGTTAAGATGATGAGGTGCTCGCATGGACATCTTCTGTGAGGTCTGCGATAGCATTGGAGATACCTTCTTTTGGATAGAAAAATTCTTCTGAATCAGTGAGCTGGCTGCACATTTCTTTGACATATAGAACTTATCGCGGAGCTGATGGCATCCAAATTTTGACACACAGAACAAAAATATCCCTATCCCCGGACTTGGTCCATACTCTAGAAATGCTTTTAGATTTTCTAAACGCCGGGAAACAGGTGAAAATGTGAACACGTTAAGATCCCGTCGACGTTTTGTCGCATGGCATCTACATTTATTCGGTTCCGCAAAGCAATTTTGCGAGAAAGTGCAACTTTTAAGAGCCTTTTGTCACCTTTGACAAAGATCTGTCGAGAGGCCCACACCTATCAGCTAGCGTAAGAAAGCCCAATGGGATTCTAATCGGACTGGCTCGCATGCGCTAATGTATCTAGCCTGCTATCTTCTTCCCTTTTCATAGGCACACTGGTCACCTCACACAGTACCCACGCCGATCCCTGGCAACCCACGAAAACGAACGGCAGACATTTTACCTTGCCTTAAATAAATGTTCAGGCTGGTGATTCGCATTGCATCTGGTCGGCGTAAGTGCTCCCACACAAGGACGGCTTCAACGACCTGCCCTGCGCGATCACTCGTTCTGCGCGGTGACCTGCTCTGTGCGATGACCTGCTCTGAGCGATGACCTGCTCTGCGCGATTACCCGCTCTGCGCGATGACCTGCTTTGCGCGATGACCTGCTCTACACGATCACCCGCTCTACGCGATAACCTGCTTTGTGCGATGACCTGATCTGCGCGATGACCTGCTCTGCGCGATTACCCGCTCTACGCGATGACCTGCTTTGCGCGATGACCTGCTCTGCGCGATTACCCGCTCTACGCGATGGCCTGCTTTGCGCGATGACCTGCTCTGCACGATGACCTGCTCAGCCAGGTGTCCGCCAGCGGCACGAATCTTATTCCCTTTCACTTTGGCGCAAAGCACAGCTGCCCAATGAACCTGTTGCCCCGAAACCTCAAACAAGTGTCTCCCTCGAATACGAAATACTTGCCAAGATGAACAGCTACCACTCCCACACAGAACCCAAGGCCAGCAAGCAGCGACTTTGCAGAGGTCCTGTTTTAAAATCGACTTTCTCCAAATTATTTACACCTTTTTTTCTTCAGCAACGAGAACTTATGCTATTTAGGGCTTGTTGGCTGTATGCGTGTGTATTTTTTTGTACGTTTCCGCGAGTTGCTTTTAAATGTCTTGTCTCTTCTAACCTGATGCAACACCCGACTATTTGGCTTCAAGTTATTGTTTGGGCTCAATACATACATTACATATAATACTTTCTAAAAATGACAACGATTTCCGAGATTTTTAGGTGATTTTTAACCTCTTCGAGCATTGTTATATGCTTGATATAAAAATCTGCAATCATTGGTGACCTAGACATGCCAAAAGCGTGCGAAATGGCACCGTGCGAGCGCGGCAACGGCGGCAACATGCAGATGGCAGAGGCATCTTCACTGATGGCAACCTTTGTTGGTTTGGAGGTGGATCAGTCGCAAGACAGCAAACTGATTGGTGCGGAAGTCGATAACCACTCAGAATAAAGAGGCAGTAATATAGTGAAAGGATCTGTTTCGCCGTCATCGAATCACCAGAACGTTAAGTGTTTGAATTAAATAATGTTTCGAAAAAGTTATGAATTGAGTCATTGCACGATAAAATGATGCCTGGCCTTCAGCACTGGACGCGTGGAACACACGTACACACCACGGGGCATTGGTAAGAAGACGTTAAATTGTGTCATCAGAGCGCAGCCGGACCTGTGCGCATTCCTCAGGACGGCCGGGACTCGAGCTGCCAGGGTTCCGCTGGTGGCGGCGGCTGCCACGCGCGCGCTGCATCGCGTGCCGGCAGGCTGACGCGGCCGGCCGGCGACAGGAGTTCCCAGCGCCTGCGACTCGTCATGCTGGCACATTCTACTCTCGGCGGAAGGGAGCCGCTCCGCAGCGGACCCGGGGGAGGGGTCACTGCAGGCTCACGTCGGGCTCCGTGGCCGACTGGACTGCTCCTGCCCCCGGCCGAGTCGCCGCCACATGACCGCCACGGAGATGTCACATCTGGCTCCGCGGCCGACTAGACTGCTCCTGCCCCCGGCCGAGTCGCCGCCACATGACCGTCACGGAGATGTCACATCGGGCTCCGTGGCCGACTGGACTGCTCCTACCCCCGGCCGAGTCGCCGCCACATGACCGTCACGGAGATGTCACATCGGGCTCCGTGGCCGACTGGACTGCTCCTACCCCCGGCCGAGACGCCGCCACATGACCGTCACGGAGATGCCACATCGGGCTCCGTGGCCGACTGGACTGCTCCTACCCCCGGCCGAGACGCCGCCACATGACCGTCACGGAGATGCCACATCGGGCTCCGTGGCCGACTGGACTGCTCCTACCCCCGGCCGAGTCGCCGCCACATGACTGTCGCGGAGATGGCGGCCTGACGCGGCTCTGGGAAAACCAGTGCAGAAACGACGCACCATGAGGTTATCACGAATGCATTGGCGGGATTGTCGCATGCACGTATTCTGTTCGGGCGTCAGGGTAGGCGTTCTAGGCAAGTGGATGACAGCATGGGGACTTCAGTGCCTAGGACGGGACTGATTTTGGATGCAAGTACCGCCAACATCAGCCCCAATGCACCCCATTTTGTAGTCAATAAAAAAACAGCTTTCCATTAGATAGCAACTTTTTTGTCGACAGTCGTTGGCCATTTGGTTTGGTTTAACCACAGCCATCCAAATTTGTATCGCAACGTTTGATATGGAGCGTTTTGTGGTGCTCCAGTTGTGCTGTTGCACTTTTGTGAACATAGGTGCAGGTTGGTTACGGTAGTCTGTAAGATCTCCTCTTTTGAAGTCGAACTTGAGCTTGTACCTATGTAGGCATGCCTGCATCGGTTGCCACGCAGCTGTAATGCATTTATAACTCACCCTGGCGTTGCTGTAGAGCTGACTGATGCAGCTGACCAGCCAGACGAGACCAGCACTGCCAGTCATACCAGCATTGCTTGCAGAGTACGATCTCAACATTTTGGTGTCCATTACTCTGATACTTTTGACCCCAGTATTCCGTTCATGAGCCCACACGTCACGGCATCGCGGGTGTGTGCTTCTTCGCTGCGTGCCCTACATTTGGGTGCGGCGGGAAAGACGATGACACATAATTGGGCCAATATAGGACAGAAAAACGGGACAGAAAAACAACCCAAGTTTCAAGCCTTTTGAGCAGAGAGCTGTAGTAGTTGAAATGCTCCCCATTAGAGCCTGGATGCAGGAGCGGGCGCGAGCACTTGGCGCCAGAAGCGGCGGATTTCGCGCTCAGCCACCATGGCGCCACCGCGAAGGGTAGCGGAAGAGGAGCTCAGTCGCTTGGAGCACGTGACACAGGCCATGGAAGAGAAGCTCGGTCGCTTGGAGCACGTGACACAGGCCATGGAAGGGAAGTTCAGTCGCTTGGAGCACATGACATAGGCCATGGAAGGGAAGTTCAGTCGCTTGGAGCACGTGGCACAGGTCATGGAAGAAAAGCTCAGTCGCTCGAACCACGTGACACAGGTCATGGAAGAGAAGCTCAGTCGCTTGGAGCACGTGACACAGGCCATGGAAGAGAAGTTCAGTCGCTTGGAGCACGTGACACAGGCCAACGGTCTAGGTAAACCAGGGCGGAGTCTGATGACACAGACGTTGCGAACCAAAGATACACTCGAGCGCTTGCTCCGACACACAGGGCATAATATTAGCTTCCTCCGACAGTTTTCCGTTGAGCCCCCGTGTTGTCTACCATTTGTTTTTATCTTGAGCAATCGGCATATGCTAGAGATCACACGGATACAGGCCGCACAGCACGGTCGCTCCTCGCCAGTATAACCGTCCCACGAGTCAAGCGTAGAGCGCTGGCTATAGCGCCCGAACTCGCGTCCACCACACGTCCTGTCATCATGAATTTCCGCGGGCGACCCGAGCAGCAGGCATGACGCATGGTTTGCGCAAGTTCTCCACGTCCCTGCGCAACGTCCGTCCATACGCCGGATCAGGTGCGTTGACAGGCGACGAACCTCGACCGCGTGTCCACTCAAAATCGGCCACATGCCGGCAAAGTTGCGGCATCCCATGAAGACGTCGGAGCCGGGGTGAACTTCGCGCGGACCAATCACCGACTCTGCAGAAAGAACTGGGTCACTCAGCCCCATCAGAGTTGCTCAAAACCCACGTGGTGCCCACCCTGCACATCCGCCTTGCGGAACGTTCGAGGAACGTCGGCGAACGTGCTCGGAAGCGGCGGTGTGCCGGCCGGGGCGGCAGGGTCAGGGTCGCGCAGGGCCGCGCTGCCGCCTCCAGCGACCGCCACCCCGCATACGACACTGCCGCAGCCAACCATCAAAGTGAAAGTGTGCGCTGCTGCTACCTTTCTAAGGTTGCGGGCGCTCTGCGTCAGGTCAGTTTTCGACAGGGCAGGTGCGCTCAGGGCCACGGGGAGAGTGTCCAGTGACGAGGCCGGCGGCCTCCTCCGACCGGGCATCCGGCGCCGACAGCCGCGGTAGGAAGCCCGGTGCCAGGTACCCCCCCCCCCCCCCGCCGCCGTCCCGGCCGGCCTAGCTGTGGCACGCGATGCCGGCACCGTGCTTCAGCTCCCCGCACGGCATGACAAAGACAAGTGACGGGCGCCGGGAAGGCATCGCGACGGAGCACTGCCAACACTGCGAATGGCGAGGAGAGAGGAGGGAAGGGCCGCTGGCGAGCGTTGCAGCTGCAGCCATCCACATCTAACCTTGCTGCCAAACGCGCGTGGCAATCATGATATGCCGGCATCTACCGGCTGCACCAGTCCGCCGGCGCGGGGTACAGAGCTGGCGTCACCGCGGCTGCTGGCGTCACCGAAGGGTACAGAGCTGGCGTCACCGCCGCTGCTGGCGTCACCGAGGGGTACAGAGCTGGCGTCACCGCGGCTGCTGGCGTCACCGAGGGGTACAGAGCTGGCGTCACCGCGGCTGCTGGCGTCACCGAGGGGCACAGAGCTGGCGTCTCCGCGGCTGCTGGCGTCACCGAGGGGTACAGAGCTGGCGTCTCCGCGGCTGCTGGCTTCCTGACCGCCGGCCGGCTCACCTTGGAGCTCGCCCCAGCGCGGCCCTCACCTCCGGTTCCTTCTTCGGCCCGTGTCGCAACCGTGTTACCGGTGCAAACATTTTACGGAACATTTTAAGGTGAAAGGCGGGGAGCCTCGGCGATCCGCTGCCCGCGTGGAGTGGAGTGGGTCAGATGGAGTGCATCAGGTGGAATGGATGGCGTGAGGTGAAATGAACCAGGCGAGGAGGAGTGGACAGGGTAGGAGAGTGGATAGGGTCAGGCTGGGAGAAGCCGGCCGTGTGGAATGGATCGGGGCAAATGGAGTCGACCAGGCCAGGTGAAGTTGACTGGGGCAGACAGAGTCTGGATGAGATGAAAAGTGGGCCAAACGGAGCGGATAGGGTGACGGTGACGTGACGGTGACGCGGATCTGAAATGTTCTATTTTTCATCTGATAACTTTTCAGGGTGAGCCTTTGCAACAGATGTTGCAGATATATGCTGCTGGTGCGGCAGCCGTGCAGAAAAATATTACAAGATAGATTACCTACATATAGAGTTCACGTAGATGACATTCACCAACACCATTCTGTCATGGCGCAAAATGAACTGCGATGTCACAATATGCATTGCTCAACTACAATTTTTCTACGCATGGTAGTGTGCTTCGTTTTGTGCTAATTTACCAGCCAAATCAAATGCAATTGTTTCATGATGCATACTGCACGTGGCCTGACCACCCTTTGATATCGACTGATGATCAATATTGTGTGCGAATAAAATCTGCCTTTTGTGCTTAAAAATGATGTACTGCATCGATAATTATTTGACTTTTCGTATCAATGCAGAACGGATTAGCAATTTTTTTCTCCTAAATATATATATATATATATATATATTTATGTATATAATGTGGGCTTTTGGAGCCTATTGCACCTTTTCACATTTACGTTTAACGAATATAAACGCTGTGTGGACATCGCTTTCGACAGCCGTTTCTTAGCGAAACTGAGAGGTAGTGCATGAACAAAGTTGGCTGAGGAGCAAAATAAGTTGGACGAAACCTCAGCTTATCGAGAAAACTATTCGTCGTTCGAAATGCACTCGGAGATGGGCTGCTCATCAAGTTACCTCAACCGGAAACACACAGGCTGCCTCATCGGTGCCGACAAGACCGCACTGATTAACCGCGGCCGCTATGCGATGCCAGCACAGTTCGGCGCAGACGCATTACAAGCGTCCAACGTAGCGGGTACGGGTGTTGGCGGTGATCCCGGCGGCGCTGGTCTTACCGATCGCAGCCTGCTGATCATCCGCCAACTGCGGCGACGTTTGTGCCTGTGAGAAAGCAATCGAGCACTCGTTTCTGTGAACAAAAAATGGTGTAAAGCAAAGCCCGATGGAAAAGTTAGGTTAGATAACTCACCGCTGACTACCGTGGTTAGCTGCATCAAATAATGTATGTAACGCCGAGTTCGTTCACGGGTTAAAAACGCTTCAAACATGGTAGTAATGGGTCAAAAGAGAGAGAGAGAGCTTTGGACGTGTTTAAACCAAGTTCGATTCTTCGTTCTCTGTTTCGTCTCCTGAGCCAAATGATGCGATTGTGAAATGAATCGTATTGCCGGGTTTTAAGTAAAAATTCCCCGATCAGTTTTGATCCGAGATGATCGAATGAACGGTGAACGTATTAAATGGATTCATTCAATACAAAAACAAAACAGTGCGTGCAGCTTTCATGTAAGTCTCAGGGCGGCGTGGCTGATTTCGGAGCAGGTTTCCCCAGACAGCAGCAACATAACTGCATGTGGATGGCAATTGGTAGGCGCAGGCGTTTACTTGGTTTGAACCCGATTCATTCAAGCATGCTTCATTTGGCCAACAATGTAGACAACACACATAACTCAGCAAATTAAATAGGTTTTGGATATCTGTGTCTCGGTAACTCGTATACGCTTGGAAGTAAGTCAGGCGGGTAACGCCAAGGCCCACTATAGGATATCACCGAACATGGCCAGGGGGAGCTCCGTGTCCTTTGTTTACAGCAACCAATGCCGCTGTGAGCGGGGCCGCGCCCATACCAATCGGCTGTAGCTATGGTAACGGCGTAAACTGATTATCAACGGTCAGCTGTCGCCACGGTGGCGACCGGGCCTGGGCTCCTGGTAGCCAGTCACATATGCACTGCTAATGTGACGGGAGAAACAGGCGACAGATGTTTTGTAATACCCGGCCATTTACGCACCACATCGTTCGCGTATGACGCGTTACATGCTCGTTGGCGTCGATGTCTCCCGCGCTGGCTGAAATGATCACCACAGTGAAATGCGCGGCATTCGGTTGGCATGGCAACGCTGACTGCTCAGGGCACTGTCGGGCACGCCGTCCTGACGAGTGCTCAATGTGCTTCAGGGCTGTAGCCGTCTGTTGCCTGTTGACATGAGTTCATACAACGCTGCAGTTTACCAGGACGTCAAAACGGCATCCAGCCTGCTGGGACAAAATGATAAGGCTGAGCATAAAATCAAATCGCTTCTAGAGCATTCCTCTGTCCGTCTGTCTGTCTCCATGTGCATCATCATGTTTTAGTTAGACACACAGCACAGACAGCTGCAAGGGTGATGGTATAATTTGCACAAGGACACACTAACAAACAAACAAGCTATGCAATCACATACTAGTTCAACCTTTGTGACAGATTGAGCTGCAGACGCCATTTTTTGTTAGAACATTGCCAGATGACTGGCTTTGCCATGCTCAGTCAAGTACATGCCAGCATATGTAAGAACATAGTAACATCTTAAATCACAGACAGTAAAATAATGCGTGCTAAAGTAAAGCGTGCTCTTGTGGTCACACACCTCGCTTCGGTCACCGCTTGAGTCTGAGGATCGGATGTTGAGTGTGCCAGTTACGCTAGGCTCTTAAGTTAAAGGAGCGGCGTGCAGGCTCCGTTCCGACCCGCGGCAACTGTAAAAGTGGTGCTGCGGGAGACAGAGACGTGCGGGGTGTTATCCCACCACGCAGTGCGAGCGAGTCTCTTAGAACGGGAAGCCGCCTGCTGAAGTGGTGAGCTTATTTGCGAGTGTCACATCAGCATTTTGACCATTTTCTCTACAGATGGCCAGCCGAATTCAGTCAGTGCGGAAGAAACATGGTAACATCGCCTCAATCTCGATTCCTCGCCGCGAAATTCGAGACTGTTTGCAGCCCACATATCTGTGTAGCACAGTCCCCGCCCCAGACACAAGCACATTACCTAACAAGAGGAATTACCAGAACCTATGTGAGAAGCGCCCTTAACTCACGAGGCGGTCTACTTCTCAGCTTGTGCAGGCCTATGAGAGCGCAGTTGCGGCGTTGTACAGCCCAGGTAATGCGATGCTGCCAGGTGAGCGCTGGGTCAGGAACGGCGCCCAGGACTCTGGCTTTAGCGGCGGCGGCCAGCGCATGATAGCCAAAACGAATGATGTTGTCTAAAGGCCTTCTGCAGGGTCACTTAACGAGAAGACACTCAGTTTTATTTGGATTTATTTTCAAGAAATGTTAGCTAAGCCACGTCAGGGC